TATTTGTGTGGGGAGGGACTAAAGGAGGGAGGGAGAATGTGAAAATGTGCGAAATATGAAATGTTAACAATTAAGAAACCTGGCTGACGCATACTGGAGTTTTTATTGTTTTTGCAACCTTTCCATGAGTTCGGGTTTATTCGGGTTTTTTTTAATCATTATTTCTCTGACACTTTTTAAATTTACATTTTCTTTCCTTCCTTCACCTTCCTTCTAATGATCCCCCCAACCTATGAAAACAAACCAACAAAATATAGAAGGAAATTCACTAAAGGAAGGAGTAGTAAAACAGTGGTTAAGTTTCTCCGTTCTTGATCAGACTGCCTGAGTTCAGAATCCCATCCTGTGTGTGGTTTTGAGGTAAACCACTTCACCTCTTGATGTCTGTTTTCTCACCCATAGAATGAGAAAGTTAAGAATGACCACTTCATGATGGCTGGGAAAATTAAATCAATACATATAGCATAGTTCCCAGCACATAGTGAATAGCTAAATTAATACATATTCATTTTTCCCCTTAAAGATATATTGAGTGAGCTTACTGATGAAGAATAGCTGTTTTTCATGGCATTTTGCTTGCTGGAATCTCTAGCCAGCCCTCTATGACTGACAGTCCCAGAGACCCTCCCATATCCACACAATATTGAGTTAATTCATTGTCTCCAAGCCATGAAAATGCAAGACATTTGGTATCACAGCTGAGGAATCACCCCTATGTGAGGTTTTTGGTTAATTATAATGAATGGGTTTTCTTGTTAGTATAATTTATAACCCATTGTCACCACCATCCAGAATCATCTGAGGAGAGGGAGGTGGAGGAAACAGCGAGGCAGCTACTTTTTACTGAGAGATTCAGAAGAACAGAACAATTTCTGGGTGCTGCAGGCAATGCCTGGTAATGATTCCATGAGCTATTTAGAAGCTTATTTTAAGAACTATTGGATTTTATCAGGTCAGTCACTGAAGCAGAAAAAACTCAGCTTGCCTGTGATGCTTCTGGAATACGAGAAATGTATCTGCACTAGACCATGGGGGAGCAATGTAGGAAAGGAGATACTGACAGAAAACAACTGGGTGAGGGGAAAATGCAATTAAAATCTCATGCTCCTAGCTCTCAGTCCAAAATAAAGTCCTGTCCAAGTGATGCTCAGCACGAATGTCTGTGAGGGATGATAGGGTGGATAAGAGCACCGGTTTAGAGCCAGGCAAACCTGCAGGTGAATCTTGACTTTGTTACTTGATAACCAACAGTGTGATCTTGGATAGGTTCTTTAACCTCTCTAAGCCTCAGGCAAGAAGAGGTGTCTAAAATGGGGATCTAAAATGCAGGTAATATTACTTGCCTCATAGTGTTATGTAAGCATCACATGAGGTACGGTTAAAATGCCTGGTTAAAATGCCTGTCACATAATGTGTTCAATAAATATTGTACTTATTCTGATAGGGAGCATGAAGCCATAACAAATAGTTTGGAAGAAAAAATTACTTATCTTTGAAATTAAAGTTATATCGTTGCAGGTTTTTAAAAAAACTTTTCACTTTGAGATAATTGTAGATTCATATGTAGTTGTAAGAAATAATGCAGGTCACAATTTAGAGTGCCTTTATTTAGTTCACTCAGTTTAGAGAACCCTTTCTTTTCTCTCTAGCAACCATGAGTTCTCCACTTCTATAACTTTGTAGTTTTAAGAATGTTATATAAATGGAGTCATATGCCCTTTTCGGAAAGGCTTTTTTTAAATTTAACATAATTCTCTGGAGATTCATCCAGATTTTTGTGTGTATCAGCAGTTTGTTCTTTTTTATTGCTAAGTAGTATTCTAAGGTGAACATAACCCAGTGTGTTTGACCATTAACACATCTGAGGATTTGGGGGTTGATTTTTGGCTGTTCTGACTGGAGCAGCAATGAGCATTTGTTCACAGGTTTTGTGTGAACATACGTCTTTATTTCTCAGGGATAAATGCCTGTAAGTGCAATTGCTAGAAACTGTGGTAGTTGCACATTAGTTTTTTAAAACCCTGCCAAGTTGTTTTCCATACAGGCTATCCTGTTTTACATTAACACCAGCAATATGTGAGTGATTCAGTTTCTCTGCGACTTTGGTATTTATTTTTAGTTTTAGCCACTTTGATAGGTGTATAATGACATCTCATTTGTCATTTTAATTTGCATTTCCCAAATGGCTAATGATGTTGAATATCTTTTCATGTGTTTATTTGCCATCTGCATATCCTCCTTGGTGCAATGTCTCTGCATGCCCCTTTTCCATTTGCTAATTGGATTGTTGGCTTTATTACTGGTGAGTTTAGAGAATTCTTTATTCTAGATACTAGTTATTGGTGAAATGATGGCTTGCAAATATTTTCTTCCACTCTGTAACTTGCTTTTTCATTCTCTTAATAATATTTTATAAAGAAAAAGCCTTAATTTTGATGAAGTCCAATTTATCAGCTTTTCCTTTTGTGGACCATGGTGACAAGTCTAAGAACTCTTGCCCTGCCATATGATTTTCTTCTAGTTTTTTTTTTTAAATACTATAATTTTGTCTATGGCTGTCTAGTTCCTTCAGCATCATTTGTTGAAAAAGTGGTCTTTCTTCCATTGAATTAACCTTCATTGCTTTTGAAACATTGTCAGCAAACTATAAGACTTATTTATTTGTGTCAATTTTCGTGTTCTTTATTGTTTTCCATTGTTTTGTTTGTCCATCCCTCTTCCAGTATCACATAATATTGATTACTGTAGTGACATAGTAAGTCTTGAAATCAGGTAAACTATTTTCTCCTACTTCTTATTTTTCAAAATTATTTTAACTATTCTAGTTAAGTCCTTTGCCCTTCCACATAAAATTTAAAATAGTCTCATGTCATCTATAGCTATAAAAAGGCTTACTGGGAGTTTGATAGGACTTGTATTAAATATGGTTGTCAGTATGGGGAGAATTGACATCTTTCCATCTTTTCTGTGTTTGCTCCTCAATCCATGAATCTAGGCTATCTCTCCATTTAGTCTGCTCTTTGATTTCTTTCATCAGCATTTTGCATAGTTTTCAGCATGCAAATCCTATGCATTTTTTTTGTTAAATTTACACTTAAGTGTGTCATTTTTTGAGTGATTGTATATGGAATTATATTTTAAATTTTATTACTTAAGTAATAATTGCTACTAAGTAATATTTGCATCTTTATTTTCTATCCCATTACTTTGCTGAACCTGCTTACTAATAGGTTTTTAATAGATTCCTTAATATTTTCTACCTAGACAATCATGACATCTGCATGTAGGATTTCTTTCTTCCTTTTATATCTTTTTGTCATTTCTTTTTCTTGCCTGTTGGACTTGCTGAAACTTCCATCACTATGTTGAATAGGAATGGTAAATGTCCCAGTCTTGGAAGGAAATCATTCAGTCTTTCTCCATGAAGTGTAATTTCATCAAATTGAGAATGGTCCCCTCTATTCATTTGTTACTGGGAGTTTTTGCCATGAATGGGTAATGAATTTTGTCAAATATCATTTCTAATTGAGTGTATTGTTCACATGATTTTTCTTCTTTAGTCTATTAATATGGTGGATTACCATGATTAATTTTTGAATACTGAATTGGCCCTGCATCTTTGGAATAATGGCAACTTGGTCACGGTGCATATAATTCTTTCTGTAGGTTGCTGAATTATATTTACTAATATTTTGTTCAGGATTACTTCATTTACTTCCATGAGGGATATTGGTCTTTATTTTTGATATACATTGTTTTGTTTTGGTGTCAGAGTAATATTAGCATCAGAAAATAAGTTTGGAAGTGCTCCCTCTTCTTTTTTTTTCTAGAAGAGAGAATGTAGAATTGATGCTAATAATTCTTTAAACATTTAGTAGGATGCTTTGGTGAAGCCATCTCAGCCTGGATCTTTTTTGGCAGGGTTTAAAAAGTTTTGAATTAAATTTCTTTAATAGTTATAGAGTTATTCAAATCTATCTTTCATGTTGGGTGAGTTGTAGTATTTGTATTTTTTGAGGACCTTGCTCATTTTGTCTAAGTTGTCAAATTTACGGGTACAAAGTTGTTCTTATTGTATCCCCTTGATGTTTGCAAGGTCTCTTGTGATATCCCCTTTTCCATTCATGATACCAGTAGTATGTGTCTTCTCTCCTTTTTCCTTTGTCAGTCTTGCTAAAGTTTTGTCAATTTTAATGATTGTTCTATTTTTGTTTTATTAATTTTGTTATTCTCTTTTCTAGTTCATTGTTGTTCTTCTCTATATTACCTCTTCTCCTACTTGTGTTTCCTTTTCTAAATTCTTGAGATGAAAGTTTGCATTATCCATAACACCTTTCCTCTTTTCTAATATATGAATCACTAAGGTTATATTTACAAATGTTATGTTTATCTATATTTTATTGTCATTCTAATGTTACATTGTTATCAACTGTTTTCTGTTTGGAGAACTTCTTTAGCCAGAGTTATTGGCAACATATTCTTCATTTTCCTTCATCCTAGAATGTCTTGATTTCTCCTTTTTTTCCTGAAGGATATTTTCACTGAATATAGGATTCTGGTTAGCAGTTCTTTTCAGCACTTAAAAAATATTGTGCTACTTCCTTTTGGCCTCAGGGGTTTTTGATGAGAAACTTACTGTTATTTGAATTGATTTTCTCTTCTAGGTAAGGTGTCATTTTCCTCTGTTTCCAAGAACTTTCCTTTATTTTTAATTTTTAGAATTTTTATTCAAATATGGGTGGATTGAGGGCTATATATTATTTGCTCTTCACTCACCTCCTTTAATCTATAAGTTAATGTTCCATCATAAAATTGGGAAGATCTGATCTATTACTTTGAATTCTTTTTCTGTCCCTAGTTCTTTCTTAGAACCCTAGCTGTTTCTCTTGCTTTTTTTGTTGTTGTTGTTGCTTCCCCCCCCCCCCCCCGTTGCTCCAATTAGGTAATTTTGGTTGTTTTTCCTTCAGATTCACTGATTCTTTCCTTTGTCATCTCCCCAGGAGAAAGAGAGGTAACTTGTTAGTGTTGAGTGGGGCAGAAGTCCAGGCTGCTCGAATTGTTGCAGTTTTAACGTAAAATCACCTGAGACAAATCTGATACCCACTTGGGAAGTTGGCTGGCTCTGCAGACAGATCGCTTCAAGGTAGGCATTTCCTTGGCAACTTCATGCAATGTCTGAATATGACTCTCAGGCCATTAGCTTGAAAACATGCTTGTCAGCATGATGAGCGTTCAGTCTTTTTCTCAAAATGAGTGCACTTAAACAGCCTCATGAAGGCCAATGACCAAAACCTAGAATGTCAATTAATTAATTTAAAATAGTTTTATCCTTTAGATAGACTTTAAATAAATGCTTTCTCTGGAGACAAATGAAAACAGACAACTTAATTATAACTAGAGGCTATTTAGTGAACCTACAACTAGAAAAAGAACAGTAACTTGGTAATTTTAATGCCTGGTTTCACAGAGTCCTGAAAATTGTTAAGTATATCTCTACCTCAGGGTCATACCTGCCCCACCAGCCACCTGGTTGGTCATCCTACCGGGCCAGTACACCCTCTTTTATGACCATGAAATAAAACACAATTGATGTTCGACTTTCCCTTTTCTAAACTACCTTTAGTGATTAAATCTCTTAAAGATTGCCCCGTTCTCATCCTTTATGTGTTAATATAGTTTATGTAGTTTTGTTTGAGCCTTGAGTTTCTGTTTTATGAGTTTACATGTCTTTAATTCAGACTACATTAAAAAAAAAAAAACCTCAATGTGCAACCTTTTTTTTTTTTAAAGATTTATTTATTTATGCATACTAGAGCTGGGGTACAGGCCAGAGATGCGGAGGTTGAGAGGATTTACCAGAGACAGAGCGGGGAACAGAACAGGCAGACTGACTGAAATACACTGCTGAGGGGAGCAGTGGGCCAGACAGGAGAGGTCTGCTGCATCATGTGGGTTGCTCCCTGGCTGGTTGGGGATTGAACTCGTGCTGCAGAGGCTGCGGATTGCTTGATAGTGTGGTGCTTAACCCCTTGCGCCACCAGGGAGGCCCCTCAATGTGCAACATTTTTCCCATGTTCTTGAAGGGAATCTTATTGTTGCCTCTGTGAGTCACCTAGTAAAATTAGAATCGTTATTGAGATCAATATTGAGAGTTGGTCCTTTTCCCAGAAAAAGAGTCGTGGTATGCCATTTTATTGCCCATAGGAAAACTGCTGATTTTAGAATCAAATTCATATCTCTAACCTAACCTATGAGTCTTTATGATGCAACTCTTGCTTCACTTCCAAGTCTCATCTCCCAATCCTCTCTGTTCCTAAGAGAGAATTGATATGTCTCCTGACCTTAGGAAAAATATAATCTAGCGTGGAAGATAGACATTAGTGAGGCAGTCTTGCAAATAGAGAAGAAATACAACTGTAACAGACATTATAAAGGAGAAAATCATGTTACTGTAAATATGTGAGTTTTGTTTTCAAGTATGTAGGGAGGTCGAGAAAGTCTTCTGAGGAGATGATGATCTATAGGACGAAGTATAATTAACAAGGCAAGGAAGGGAAGGGAAAATACCAAATTCAGGAGCAAATAATATATAAAAGTCTATAACAGAAATGCAGACTATAGCCCATAAATACCAGTGTGGCTTAAGGTGATGGGGATACATGTTCAGTTCAGTTGTAACTAGAAATACAGGTATAGCTGAATAATGTTAAGGGATTTATCTTTATTAGAAGAATAATGGGAAGTACAGGAATATTTTTAATAGAAAAAATGACATGTTAAAATTTATATTTTCCAAATAATATGCGACTGCTATGTAGAAAAAATTATTGCAAAGGGACAAAAGTGGATACAGAGAGACCATTATTAATTAGACTCTTGAAATAGTCTAAACAACTGATGACGATAGTTTGGCGACACAGTGTGGTAGAAATGATACTAGAGATATTTTGAAAGCAAATTCAATTAGAGGGAGGTAGTAGGTGGGAAACCTTTCTTGACTGCACACTCTGAAGGTCTGAGTGAGGAATTCTTCCTATAGACATCATAACTCCCTGTGATTGCCCCACCACATGCCTTTTTAATTAGGTAGTAAAATTGCCAGTCACCTGTATGTTGTAAGCTCAACTCTCACAATAATATATATATTATTATATCTGCAGCACCTAGTGCCACACTTAGACATATCAATTCTCAGTATTGGCATGAAGAGTAGAAATAAAGACTTTAAGTGGTATTCAAATGATATTTATAGGTTTTCAGGAAAAGGATAAGTAGCTTTAAATATGAAAAATAGGAGGATATTCTTTTTTTTTTTTAGTGTTGGGCATTTAATAAGCACTGTGTTAATATTATTGTCAGTAATAATCACAGTAGTAGTAGCAGCCAGAAGAGATACAACAGTAAATGGTGGCAAAATATGAACGTGCCCCCAAAATCCTTCCAGATTAATAGCACTGAGTTACGAACTACTCCAGACAAACAGATGAAATGGCAGGTGTGAATCAATCCACCGTCTCCCACTTATTCATTTTTGATCCCATGCCTTAGAAATGCGTTCAACAACCTTGTTCTACTGTCCAGCATGTTTAATTTCATTACATGTTCTCCCTGCCTGGAAAGCCAGTTGCTCTATCATGTCCCTGGTATTGTTTTAGGGAACAGTTATTTCAAATGCCCATTCTAATTGTTAGTCACACAGCTAATTTGGGAGGGATATGAAAATGAAAAGACTGCTCTTTATTATACTTCTTGACCCACTCAACAGGAGGATATTCTTAAGGTTTAACTCTTGGTGTGTTACAGGTTCATAAATGGAGCATGGATGCTTTTGTGTCCAGTTATACCTACCCCATAAAAACAAAGCAAACAGCAATTCTAATTGCAGTTATGCAGCACTTCCAGGAATGGGCTTAGAAAATCACCCTCAGATACAGCACTAATTCTAAAACCAGCAAACTGTAGCATCTCTTCAACATCCGCTTCCAGCAAATGTACTCAGAGCCCAAGTCAATTCTTAGAGCTAACCTGATGGTGCCCCAATCTCCGGGCTGCCTCGGAATAGCAAAGAACATCTTGGACCTGTCTTTATCTAATGCAACACTATTTTCAAAATTCTCTTTTTTCCCTATTATCTCTCATCTTCTTTTGGCCCACTATTCTTTTTTGCTGCTTGTAAAATATATCTAAGGACACTGATGCATCACTGTTTGTGGCAACTTGTTTTTTTACTTCATTCAGGAACTATCTGGAGTCACTTTCTACTACTTCAAGCTTTGACTACATCAAGCTTTTATGCTGCAGGTTACCCCGCCCGCCCCCCCCACCAAGTCTGGTAATCCTTTTATTTTTTTCCCTGCTATGCCATCCAGCCTCCAGGATAGTCCCCAGTGATGTCACTCAGTGATCATCTTAGCCGGTTAATTCCATCTCACATTATGCAGGGTTGGTCTCCGTGATGGTGGACCACAGCTGACATGATGATATATAATTTCATAGGTTAGGTCGTAAAAGGCACTTTGACTTTCTGCTCCCTGTTTCGTCCTTTCTCTTGATCACACATGCTGGAGGAAGCAAGTTACTATGACGTGAGGAAAGGCCCATGTGGCAAGGAAGTGAGGCCTCTTACCTAACCACTATGTGAGAGAGTGTAGTGGGGAATCCTCCCATCACTTGAGTCTTCATATCACTGTGGTACCAGCCAAAATCTGGACTTAACCTCATGTCAGCCCCTGAACTGGAATGACCTTGCTAATAAGCCACTTCTAAATTCTGGACCTCCAGAAACTATGTGGGATAATAAATATTTGTTGTCTTAAGCCCCTGAGTTTTGGGGTAGTTTGTTACCAGCTAGTAGAAAATTAAAACACCTCCTCATATTTAAGAGTGGCAGGATAAGAGAGGTGATTAGGAGCTTTTTGTATATGGAGGGGCTTAAGGACTAGAAGTTTTTGCTTAACATCAATTCCTAGGAAGGGAGCAAACTATGAAAACTAAGGTCTGACTGGTGTGAGACAACAGTCTGATTAGTTCTTCCTTAGTAGTGCATGTAAGTTTTCCTGGTGATAACTACTGGGTTACATGAGCTCTTCTTAGGACAGCAAGGGCTGAAAGCCCCTGTATACTGATCTTTAAATAATCCTTTTTGTTTTCGACTTTACATCTAACCCTTATTTTCTGATCGTAGGACTTTGCCAGGCATAAGATATCCTCTTCCCTGAAGCCTACAACTGTGTTCAGGCTATGACTTCTTCCACTTTATTGCATTTGTCCATACTCTTCCATCTATTTCCAGAAATAGGTTAAAAAAGTTTTTTTGAGCTGCATCCTACACTTTCCCTCTATAGTCTATTGTTCTTTTCTCTATTGTTTATACTATTTAAAGAGTGTTATTTACTATTATTTTAGGAAATGGTAATATTTACTATTACTTTAGGGATTAGGGAAGGCAAAATATGCCCAGTCTGTCACCTTGAACCCGGTTAGCATCTTTTATGCCATTCATTTAGTACACAGCACTTCCAGAGATCTAAAGTAGGCTACTGTTATTACATGGTCTTTTCCAAGAGGTTTTGGAGCCACTTCTTTCCACTCATTCATTCTTCATCTTGACTTGCAAGTATGGTCCTTGCCCCCTCTCCATGCCATGTCTCCATTCTCCCCAATCTTCTCCTCACCCCCTAAAGAGTATTTTAAATCACAGGTATTTTATGGAACCTAATGTTCTAGAGAAATGATCCTCTCCTGTGTAATGTTATACAGACCAATAGAAAGCCCTTGTTGGGGATGATCCGGTGACTCAGATTGTAGTCGATTCCTGAACTCCCTTGATACAGACATACCAAATGGACATGAAGACAACAGCTTCTGCTAAGGTTGGCAGGGAGCATCAGTATGGTGAGGGAGGAAGACTGTACCTGCCCCCGTAGGAGGTGTCCACAAGGACACGAGATTCTCCCTACCATAGGTGGATCACAGGAAATCCTGATTACAGAAAATAGATCACAAGTCTTACCAAAAAATACCCCTGCCTCCTCAAACTACTGAGGAAGACACTTCTGGAAAAGAAACTATTGATAATTTTCCAAGTTCTTGTATTAGCTCTGTATATTTATTTCACATCAGGGATTATAGAATAGCAATTGCAACTTTGGTAATTTATGTTTCTAATAGTGTTGCTGTTCATGTGTGGATTGTGTGTGATTTGTCCTTGTACATGCAGAATACTAATAAAGAACAAAGTCACAATTTAAAAATGTGAACCATTAGCATCACAGCATTGGCCCTCCCCGCCCCTCCTACCCCATAAAAAATGTATTTCGCATGAACAGCCTGTGTCAAAGAAAACCAAGAGAGGGGCACAGTATCTTAACAGGTAGACAAAGAATAGCAAGGGATAAGACAAGTTTAATGATATTTGGAGGTGACTGATCTTTTGACATTTGGAAAGTTTGGTTACTCTAACTCTAAAGTTTGGTTACTCTAACAGAGTTAGAGTCTCAGTTTGGGGATTTATTTAGGGAATCATTACAAAATGAATTCCAATACTGAACTTAACAAGAATGTGACAGAGCCTCAGTTCTAAAAAGGGAAGGGAAAAGCAGGCAGGTCACAGGTCAGACATTCAAGAACACAAAATATTTACTTTCACCAGTGACATTAAGCAGACGTTAGAATCAGGTCATAGATGTATATGTGTGTGTGTGTGTGTGTGTGTGTGTGTATATATATATATATATATATTCTCTGCTTTTCTTCCTGCTTGACTAAGTTTTAAATAATTTATCCTCATCAATTAAAGCAACATCTAGACTTAGTATGGTTCACCTTGGGAAAAAAATTGCTAGGAGTGGAGGGCGCCATAAAGAAGTGTTGCCTGTGTGCCCTGAGTTTCAGCCACTCCTCGGAGGGCTCGCTTACCCACTACAATTGCGCCCACCTCTCTCGGCCTGTAGACCACCAGGTCACTGTGCTTAACAGATCTAAGACAGGGTGAAATTCCCAAAGACTCTGTTAGATATAAAGGAAAAGTATAGAAAAATAATAAGTATATGAAATGCTAAACATTTCATTTAGCAAAATCCAAGGATCCAATCCCATCATACCTAATTTGTGGTGATTTATATATTTGACCTAGCTCATTAAAATCTTGTGTCCCTTCTGTCCTGGTTTCTGTTTAGTCTCTACATATCAGTTTTACTTTTTACTACCTCAGCACCAATAACTCCATAAAAACCTGGTCGCTTTTCAGTGTAGATCAAAGAGGACTTTGCATATATATTGCATATTCATCTATTGCAGATGTATTGTCCACTTTTTAAATTCTGGTTTTAGTGTAAAAACCAGACTGACATTTGGAATGTGACTGAAACTAGGAATGCTTTCAAGTAAGAATTTGACCCAACTCTTTATTTATTGACTAAGACTTTATTTTGCAGGCTGAGAAATTTAACCATCTCATTCAAATGACAAGCACTCTATGACTGAATTACACACACAGAATAACAGGTGAGATGTTCCCTCATATAGGCACCACTTACATGTGTATATATTTATTAAAAGTATGATGATCTTTCTGTTATCATGGGAAATAAAAGGTTTTAAGAAGAGTTCCTCTACTCAGAGAGAATGGAGAGAATATTGAAAATAGTAAATCTGAAAATACAGGATTCTAATGATCTAAAGAAGAATTAAAGCCTAATTAAGAATGAGGAGTGTGCCTGGGTATCTGCTCAAAGAGCACAAAACATTAGTTTGAAAGGAACCCTGCACTCCTATTTATAGCAGCTCTATTTATAATAGCCAAGATATGGAAACAACCTAAATGCCCCAGAACAGATGAGTGGATGAAGAAGATATGGTACATACACAATGGAATACTACTCAGTGGTCAAAAAAGATAAGCCTGTTGTGGCAAATGGATGGACCTGGAAGGGACTGTTGTAAGCAAAGTGATCCAGAAGGAAAAAGATAAGTACTGGATGGTTTCATTTATATGTGGAATCTAGAAAAACCAAACAAGGGATCAGACAAAAACACATCGACCATTTAAAGCAGACCATAGATCTGAGACACTCCAAAGGGAAGGAGGAAGAGGAGAGGGCGAGCAAAGAGCAAGGCAGGAGGAGATCCAGTGGAGGGTGATGGGAAAAATACAGTGGCTGCACCAGAGGGGAGAAATCCTAACTGATACTACTCAGCAATCAAAAAAAGATAAACTCGTGCAATTTGCAGCAACATGGATGGAGCTGGAAGGGATCATGCTCAGTGAAATAAGCCAGAAAGAAAAAGAAAAAATACCTGATGCTCTCACTCATAGCAGGAATTTAAACTTAAATAAGGGACCAGAAAAAAGACTAATTATAATAAAGTAAAAATCAAAATCAACAAGCAGCTGTAAACCAGAGACACACTATGGGGGCTGGGGGTGGGAAGGAGGAGGGAGTAGGATCAAAACAAGGGGGGTGGGCATTGTATGGGGACTATAACCGAGATGAAAATGCATACATTGTACAAAAATGAAAAATGATGTAAAAATATATAAAATAAAATGTGATTTCAGGTGGAAAAATAGGATGTTCAAAAAATAAAAAAAGAAAATAGCACCAATAAAGGTAATTATTAAAAAAAATGTGTGGAGAAGGGTGTCTAGAGGAGCTAAAAATAGATTAGATATTGGAACAGTCGCAGAGGCACTAACAGGATGACTCCTGTGAGAGGAAGACAGATTCTGGGGGACAAAGCACAGAATAAGGAGTATGTCCTAAGGGGGAAAAAAATGGTCGCATTTAGTGAAATGTAGGTGTTCCTATTTTCAGGGAACCTAGGAATAACTGAATTTCTTACCAGACAATAGCTACATATTCCCCTGAAGTTCCAAAGAGAAATCTGCTTAGAAAGAATAATGGAAAAACAAAAGACTTGTTGGGAATTTTTATAAATTGCTCTGGGGGATGTGATTTAAGGGTCCTCTATTTCTTGGAAGCCCAAAATCTCTACTTCAACATACCAGGATAGAGTGGCCCTAAGACAACTTACCATGTTGCTAAAGAAGTGCAAAAGAGAGGAGAGAGAAGCAATACATGCAAATCTTTAAATCTGCAGTAACCCTTCATGAATATTACATGCCGCCCAAGTTAGTGGACTGGATCCAGCTAATTAAATCTATATTCCTTCTTAGCAGGAAGAATTAAGAAAAGGCAAGTGTGATATAAGAGAAGTTTTGAAAATTTTTTATCTCCTATTGTTCTCTTTCTCCATTAGAGGCCCTAATTCTGCAGTCAAATGTTTTACCCCTGAGCAAAAATATCTAGACCGCCTAATTCTAACCAATAATAAGGCATTTGTTGGTGATGTAAAAGTTGAGAAAAATTGAAAGGGTAATATTATATTTGAAGATGGTAGATGGTCTAAAGGTACAAAAGACAATTGTAGTTTGTGACAATACTTTGAAAAGTTGACTTAGAATTGGAAAGTTCTGATTAAAAATAATACAAAATATATTAGCAAAGAAAAGGAAGATACACATGAAGATGTCAAGGAGGCTGTAGAGGGATCAGTTCAGATACTAAAAAACAATTCAAAGGTGGCAGAAGAGCACATCACCAGACACAGTCTTCCAAGCACTGTCCACTTAAACATCTGTATGCTGCGGTGCTTTGTTTTTAGCCATAGGCTATTAAAAACAAAGAACACCCAGATCCCAGTCTAAGAAAAAACAGACTCTGCTTGAAGACCATGTTCTAATATTTATGAGAACAATCAAAAAGTAGATGTCCCAGTCCTCATTTGGTTCTGTCTTATCTTTCAAGATAGACTATTGGGTTGAAAAGGGTTACGGAGACTCAAGAGAGAGGAAGATAATTGTGAATGGATGTTGGAGAGCAACAGAGAACTCCAGCCCATATCCAGACTCAGGACTTCTATCCCACCTTCCAAGAATCTGCAAAGGGGATTCCTGATATGCTTGTAGTTCAATCCCTTTACATATTCACATTCTGTGCTTGGCACCAACAGTTGGAACACAGAGGTGAAAACAATACAAGATATTTTCCGTGGAAGCTTGAGAAATTCCAGAGAGTGGAACAGGTGCTGGAATTTAGGAAATGTTCTGACTTTCCCAAATGGAATGAAGTGGATTACTCAAAGTGAATTACTCAACCAGCTTCTTGGTTTCAAATCAAGTTGACTTACCCCATGTCAAACACCTGGTGAGCAATAAAAGTGAGACTCAGTCTTCTGAGCCATGAATCCATTTAATTTTGATTCTGCTCTAGTCCCTAGCCCTCCTGTTGGATTCAAGCCCATAGTTTTGTCTCTTAGTAATAATTCTGTCTTTTCTCCCTGCATAAAATACCAAATATGATTTTCATTAATTCATTTGTTCAGTAAATATCTATTGAACGGTTACTATGTGTCTGACTCTATGCTAGGTGCTAGGGATATACTGGTAAGTAAAACAAAGTCTCAATACTAACAGAACTTAATTTCTGGTACTAATTATGGTAGTAGAGACAAAATACATAAAAATATATGTATGTGTATTATATGTGTGCATATATATGTTTTACAGTTGTGCTATGAGGGAAAATAAAATGCAGTATCTTAAAAGGGGCTAGGAGTACTGGCTGTTATATTTCCTGTAGTGTGATAAGGAAAGATTTCTCAAATTACGTAACAATTGAATAGAAATTGGAAGAAACTTAAGAGTCATGTTTATTTCTGGTGAGTAGAGTGTCTCAGTAGAAAGAACTGCTAGACAAAGACTGGAACAGAGTGAGGAGCAGGCCTGGTAAGAGGTAAGTTCATAGCTATGGAGAGGACAAAGGGAGCATCAGATATAGGGCTTTGGCCAAGGTCAAAACTTCACCTTGGCTCTTGGCACAGGTGGTTCGGCAAGGGTGAGTGGAACATGTGTACATGTGGGAGAACGAAAATGTAACCCCCAAAAATTAAAAATTGAAAAAAGAAAGACCTTTATTTTAACCTGCAACTATAACTTATGAGTTTCTAGCAGGGAAATGCCATCATCATGACATGTTTTAAAAGGATCACTTTGATCTGTCACATGGAGAGTGTCTTTGCAGTGGGGAGATGAATTAGAAGAGAGCAGTTAGTAGTCCATCAGAATTACTTGGGAAATAAAGAGTTGATGATGGCTTAGACCATGCTACTCAATACCGTGGGAGAGGCAGGAAGAATAATGCAATTCTGAATATATTTTGAAAGTATAGCCAACAGAATGTCTTGTTGGATTGGATGTGGGGTGTGTGGAATATTGGAAAGGGAATGTCCCTGTCTCTGACTATTAATGCTGCGTAAGACATGACTTATCCTCACCTTCTGATGTTACCTACTTGGTGACGGACTCTATTCCCATGATAAGTTTCCCTCAAGGAGAATTAAACAGGTATTTTCTTCTCTTATATTTAAAAACAAAAACTGGTGGAAATGAATTTCTGTGTGTCCTAAAGATATGTATCAACCCAAGGAAAATGGGATTACTGTGTATAAAAATGTAGCACTTTTCAATGTAAAGCTTTGGTGATCGGAGAGTAAGGGTGATCACACCTGAAGGAGAAAATCACAAATTGTCCAAAAATCAACAGCAATGTAAGAAAAAACTATTTCATTTAAAAAAGGAGAAAATGGGCAAGAAGTATATGAAAACTATTATGGTGAAGATGGGATACAAAAAAGAAATCAATGTTTAGGGACTTAGATGATGATAAAATAAAAATGGGCACATGAATCGTGCGTGAATAAGGAGGAGAATATCCTAGGACTTGAACCTGTGTGTTCTGTATCAAGGCAAAAGGTGGGTGATTCAGAAGTACTCTTTTCTTTCATATTGTAATAGTGAATTTATCCCAGAAACTTCTGACTGTAGCAGTACATGATGCCTGTTCTGTTTACCCACAATTGAAGTGTAGATCACCCCCCCACCCCACCACTGCTTTCATTTTAAGCTATTTGGAGCCCAAGTCAGTGTCTTTGGAACAGGCGCTGAAGGTGTATTACTGCATCCCTGGGTCAGACCTAGGGAATCCAGCTTTGCTTCTCTGTTTTGGCTGTTACACAGATGGCTTGCCAGTCCCACACACGAACCGGAGCTGATTAGCACTCTGGTGCCCTATTTAAGCTTTTCCGGCTCCAGAGAGAAGCTATTTTGAAAAGTGAAAAGATTACACTCCGATAATAGACCAGAGGCCTTACACATGTGGATGGCTCACAGAGGATTAAAAGAGCAGACCCAGAATAAATGCAGCCTCCATCCCATAGAACAATGCTGGCGACTGCTCCCACACTGATGAAGAGCTGTTTGAAGGAAGTTCCCTGCTCAGATCACTGATGCCTCTGTGAGCTCACACAATGGTGGATGGCTTAGGGGGCCAATATCTGATCCAACTGCTATCGTCTTGAGGAACCAATTAGACCCCTCCTTAGTCCTTTGATATCTCAGGAATCTTAGGTCCTAATTGTTAGACTTTGCTCTCCAAAATTTGTTTGATCTTTTCCCAAGTGTTTCTGCATGGAAACACTTTTCAGGGTCACTAATCATCTGAAGAGGTAGATGAGGGAGGAAACTCACACTTACTCTAATTTATTTTAAACAAAAGATGATACAAATAGAAATTTTATTGATTTCAGGTCAAGGTGCCCTAGGAGTTGCTCTAAGAAGAACTCATGACTGAACAAGGCCTTTGTGTCCTGGAGATCAAATTGAAGGAGATGGAGACTTTGGGAAATCTAGCTCACTCAGCTGTGACAATACTGGTATGTGAATATGTTCATTTACTAAGAGAAGTTATATGATCCAATGATTCAAAGTTCATTGTTACATCGTTCTCCATGCATCTTCTGTCTAGGAAAGCCAAACTAGAAAATGAATTAAACAGACATATTCTATGACATTTATTAAATGTGTATTATGTGTTAAGAACCTTGCCTGACATTGCGGATTCAGTGATGAGAGGATTAATTCTTTGATCATGGTGTCTGTAATCAATGAGGAGAAAACTTGAAACTGTACCCTCACTCCCCTACCCTATGTAATCCATGCTATTTGCCCTAGAGAGTTTCAGGTGTCTCTCAGGTCTGTTTTTGACTCAAGCACATATATTACAGGTAGAAATGAATGGTAGGGCATCATACCAGATTTATAGCTGCAGAATATGCTAGCATTTTGTATTATCTGAGGTGGTTGTGGGATGATGGTGTAGCAGAGACACTGTATAAAGTGAAAGATGCACCTGCTTTTTGGAGCAGGAGACCTTCCACATACTGCATGGTGCAGGATCTTGCTTATCGTTCCTGCTTGTGTCAATTGCAGTGCAGCCAGGGACATTCTTGGGTTGGGGAATCAGACAAGGATGACCTCAGCTTTCTGGTTTGTAGAACCTATATAACATTATATAGTTTTCCAGTATGTATAGCATTATAAATTGGCATCTCTTACTAATTTTTAAACATATTTTAATATTTTAATGAACTTTTCATTTTACAATATATTAGATTCACAGAAAAGTTACAGAGATGCTACAGAAAGATTCCATATACTCCTCACCTACCTTCCCCTATGATTAACATCATGCATTATTATGCTACATTTATCACAATTAAGAGCTAACATTTATTCAACTTTCACTCATTTTTCCCAATGTAGGGGTTCTGAATCATTATTCAGTGTAGGTCCTTATTAGTGCTCTTTGGTCCAGATTTGATACCAGTTATGTCAGCTTTATAACCTTTCTTTAAACTCTGCAATAATTTTAAAAGGACTGGAATTATTTACTTAGGTTAATTGAAAGAATTAACCTGTGAAATCAGATAGTCCTAGTACTATTTGGTGGCCACTTTTGTACCAGTTGTGGCCACTACTGTTTGTTGGTACATGGCTGAGAGGAGCAATAATATAGTAGCTTGAATTTTGACCCCATCTTCTAGTGTAATGTATAGAATACATGTACTCTAGATGAGGCATGCTCAGACACTTGGAGACTTTTCATCTAGGCCAGGTTGACTTGTATGCCCCTGTAGAAAGCAGGCTAAGTGTCTACCTGACCTCTTCCCCTTGAATCTGCATGAGAATCTGGGATTTTATATCTCCTTGGTAAGGAAAGGTCACGTCAGAGCCTTGTAGTTGGTGCAAAAATAACAGAACAAAAAAACAAGAGTCAGAGTTGGATATGATGTTTAGAGAGCCTACTCTTAACCCTTTTGGGCTCAGGAGCATCTCCAGATTTTGATCCAGAATGTTTAAAGTGGGGACTGAGATTTTACATTTTGGACATGTTCTCAGATGCTGCTGCTGCTGCTGTTGCTGCTGCTGCTGCTGCTGCTGCTGCTGCTGCTGCTGCTGCTGCTGCTGCTGCTGCTGCTGCTGCTGCTGCTGCAAGGATCAACTTTGAGAAACACTGCCTTGAGACATGTTTTATATAGGAAAAAAATCAGAATAAATCCTTTCTATTTCTATTTATTTCCCAGTTAGCAGTCTCCAAAAATGACCAGTGCTTTTTACTTACCTAACATTATGAACTCAATTATTGTCTTTAACATATTGAATGTATTTCAATTACTTACAGTTTTTGTTTTCTTTTTAAAGCTCAAATGATGCCATGCTTGACCTATGAAAACCTCCTCAATTTGACTCCATATTCTTTTCACATTCCAATAGTCTTTCAAAGTTTCCTTGCTTTCATATACCAACAAAATGCTGCAGACTCATCTTGAGCAATACCTATTCCAAATCTGAATTCAGCTATTTTTCCAAAAAGTCTTAGGTTCCTTTTAAGGTGAATCTCTGTACTCTATTTTTGCATTTTTTTTCTAATTGTAAAAACATATTCTTATTGCAGAAAGTGTGGAAATAGCATAATAATGTAAAGAAGCAGAAAAATAACCATGCCATTTTAAAGCAACTATATTTATTTATTTATTTAGGTTTTAAAATTTATTTTTTTAATTTTATTTCATATAATTCTCACATCATTTTTCATTTTTCTACATGTATGCATTTTCATTTTGGTTATATTTCCCATACAATTCCCACCCCCCTTATTTGGACCCTAATCCCTCCTCTCCTCCCCTGCCCCATAGTGTGTCTCTGGTTTATAGCTGCTTGTTGATTTTGATTTTTTTCTTTATCATAATTAGTCTTTTTCCTGGTCCCTTATTTAGGTTTTCTAAATTCCTGCCATGAGTGAGACCATCCGGTATTTTTCTTTTTCTTTCTGACGTATTCGCTAAGCATGATCCCTTCCAGCTCCATCCATGTTGTAAAGCAACTGTATTTAAAGGAACATTTTAATATATGCTTTTCCAGATTTTTTGCAATGAAATGCCTCATAGTTCAAATCGTATAATATATATAAAGTGTTTTTCATTTTATCTTTTGTTTTTCATTTTAAAAATAGCATTCATAAACAATTTTCTTACATCATTATAACTTTCATAAACATTTTAACAGTATGTAATATCATGTCACACTACTTTAATTTACCTAATCTCTTTCCAAATATTGGACCTTTGGCTTGTTCTTATAAATTACGATTCAAAGGACAGCTATGGGCTTACGTTTTAGGTCTTGTTTCTTTAGAATCTACTCCAGAAGTAGAATTCATGGATCAGAAGCTGTGAACTGATTTCAGTTCTTGAAACTTATTACAAGTTGCTATCCAGAAACCATGTTTCTAGACCCGGGCCAGGCTTGAGCATTCTGACTTTCAAATCTTTGCTAGCATGAAAGATGAAAAATTATTGTCTATATCATCTTACAAATTTTAATTCTAAATATATAAACATTTGTTCAGATAGGTCATTACAAAGTTTTTCATTTGCCCTTTTTTTGGATTGACTTTACATACACAGAAACCTTCTATATTGATCTTCTAGTATTTTCTTTTGTAATTCTTCCCATTGTTATTTATAATGTCTATGAAAGGCAAGTTTATGACCAGTTTACATAAATTACCTATAGTACTGATGTCACTCAAGCGCATGCACTCTAAAGCACATGAGAGATAAAAGCACGGGGGAGCCTTGCCAGTGCCCCCTGTGGTCCTACCTAGATGGAGCCCTGGGCCTCACGTTGTTATTTGGGTGCAGAAGGACACTTTCCTCCCGGATCTGCTTCTGTGTGACGGACAGTTGAGTCTCCCATATTTGGAGGAGGTGGTTTTTGTGGAGATAGTCACTGCTAAACACCAGCCGTGATGTAATAACCCTCATGGGCTGAAATTTTCCACAAATGTCTCCACCAGAGCCCTGTGCTGGGCACGAAGTCTTCCTCTGAGTACTCTGCCAAAGCCTCATGGTTTTCCCTCAGAAAAACAGGCAGAACTCTAAGAGGAGAGTGGGGCCTCCCTGGAGGCTCAGCGGGTTGAGCGCCGCACTGTGAAGCTGCCCGCAGCTTCTGCAGCACGGGTTTGATCCCAGCCAGCCGGCCGGCAAGGGTCCCACATGGCGTGGCAGACCTCTCCTGTGTCACCCGCTGCTCCCCTCAGCAGTGTATTTCATCAGTTTGTCTGTTCCGTTCCCCTCTCTGTCTCTGGTGAATCCTCTCACCCTCCCACGCATCTGGCCTGTACCCCGGTTCTTGTATAAATAATTAAATCTTAAAAAAAAAAAAGAGGGGGAAAAAAAAAGAACTATCTAAGAGGATAACGATGAGGTCATCTCAGTACAGGATCATGGTGTGGGAGGAATGAGCTCCAGAACGCAGTCTAGTTTGTGCCACGAAACAGCCACACTTCATTGCCTGCACAGATGGCCCCGGGGGCACTGCCTCCTTGGACTCTACTTTCTCTCTCCCGAGGTCAGCTTCCACCTTCCTCTTGCACCTCTCACTCATTCATGAGCACTCCTGCACCCTCCTTCTGTGCTCCTTCATGCCTTAGGATTAAGAGTACCATATTTTACATTTTGCAAACTCTAGTAATGTCTCGGCATTTTCCTATCCTCTCATTGCAGTTTCTTTCCACTCATTTAACTGCTACTTTAGGAGGGATCAGGCAGGGTGAGGGTTTTGTTTTTTTTTTAACTATTTAACCTCCCATTAAGGTAAGCATTATCTTTTTTGTTAGACAGTACAGTTTAATATTTGCCAAAGGAGAAATTATCTGTATCAGCCTCGCCATCATTGAGTTAGGGAGTGTTTGGCAATCAGACCTGCTCTGCTTTACAGAAGGAACACACTAGCTATAAAAGGCCCTTTCCTTGCTCTGCAGAATGGATGCCCCCTGCTCCAATTAATTTGACAGTTTATCTCAGCTCAAAATGGCATGTTCTTACCTGCCACCAAGATTAATTGTCTCTCTCCATATTTGCTCTAGCTCATCTACTACTTACATTTTTCAAAGTAGGTTTGTGCACATACATTTTTATCAATAGAAGAGAAATATAAGTTCCATTTGCTTATATAGGTGGGTAACTTTTGAGGTTAAAAACATTCTCTTTATGGCAGTCTTCTGTTTCTAATGATAGAGATAGTAATTGGAAAATTTTCCTCAGTGTAAGCAAAAGCAAATAGTTATTTCTCTATATGCATGACCAGTTGGCCCACCTTGCTCATTTTCCCCTTTTTATGTCGCTTAGCAAAAGCTCTTAGTGTGTCCTCATAGTGCTCACGGCGTGTTGTCTTCAGAGTGTGTGTGCTGAGCTTAGAGGAGGACACGAACTGATTTGCATAAGGAGATTCGATGGTAGGAAAACCTCCTGGAGTCCTTCTACCTGGCAAACCTGAAGCTCAGGACTGGAAATGATACAAAGGGCCCCAAACAGGAGCTCTATGGGTGAGTCAGGGCTGCAGCCAAGAGTGCAGCATATGGGATCTTGCTTGGGGTTGGGCCTCTCTTACTGTCTGTGCTGGAGCCTGACAAATGCAGGAATACAGTAAGTGTGGAACTTTGGGGAGAAAGACTAAGCATGTGTTATTGACCTGATCAAGTCATAAACTTGGAATTCTAGAATAAGGCACTGCTGCGGCAGTGAAAGATCTTCATAGGAATTATTGCCACAACCAGAAACAAGCAACCTTCTGATCTCTGCAGCTGGCACTCTGATGTTCTTGGACAGTGATCAGCACACTGGAGGTGATGAGGTGAACATGCTTTCCAGTTTTCTTCATATATTTTTGAAACTCAAGGAGCCTTTAAATGCCCTTGGTCATTTGGGTGTGATGGAGAATTTAAGGGCTGGTGTTTTCAAAGTTGCTCTAGCCAGAAATCTTGGATGTCTGTTTTCTGTTTCCATCCTATCAATAATCCCTAATGACTCAAACTCTAAAATCTAAATAAGTCCCTCTGCTTTTCTTTATTTCTGCTTCCTTGATGCTAGTTTGGGCCTGGTTTCATGGCCTCTGATTCCTACTTGAGCTACTGCTTATACAGAATTCACTCTGCACAGAATTAACTTTTAATAATATAAATCAGTTTTTCTACTCTCCTGTTAAAACCCCCTGATGAGTTAATATCTTGCTTGTTATAAAATCATATCTCTATTGGCCTAGGAGAAATGATCCCCTCCCTGTCCCTTCTCTTGCTGTTCTCCCCCTGGTGCACTGCGCTGTTGCTACACGACTTTCTGTTTGTGGGATAGGAAAGTGCGTTCCCACCTCTGGGCTTGGGCCGGCCACTGCCTTTGGCAGCATGCACCACTTCTGACCCTGCACTCCCATGTCACAACATCAGAGAAGCCTTTCTCAGACACCCAAGATCAAGTAGCCCCCATTCCTATCTCATGGATTTTCAAGTTAGCATATACCACCAGCTAGTAGTTTCTTAGTTATTTTTATCTGCCTACCTATCAGTGTACCAAATGTCTAGTCTAAGCTAGCTATTAGTTTGTATAGTGGAGTTTTGGGGGGAAGGGATGGTGGAGGGAGTGGTAGCAGATGAAGGAATAACTGGATGTGTAGCTAGCTATGAATTTATTCATTTGGTATTTCTTCCAGGATTGACTGCCGATTGATTCCTTAGAACAGGAATTTTGAATGTATCCTTAGCAACTGGAGCAATGCCTAGTGTTTAATCATCATTCAATAAATATGTGTTGAATGAATGAGATGGCTGAAGTGAATAATTGCAAAAATAAGGGAGATGTGCTTTATCTCCCAAGGTTATAAAGTACACCTTACCTGTTACACATAGTTAAAATGTCTTAGTGTTTCCTAGGAGTAAGTAATGTGCAAAGTGTCTTTTCAGTGCTTTATTTAATATTTACAAAAATATTCTGATTTATTTACTGTATTATTTCTGTTTTATATGTGGATACATTGAGGCTCAGAGAGATTAAGTAACTGCTCTTTAAGTCAAAGCACAGAATCTGATCATTTGATGCTGTTTTGTCATCTGTTAATATAATTTCACCCCATAAAGCATGCTTATCACAGTTTTTAAAATAAGACTCTATAATCTTAGAGCTGGGTGTGATGCTTTCAATATAAATAATACAAACACAAATGTAAAAAGCATCTCTCTTGCTTCTTTCCTGTTCCATGCTACCTTTTGGCAGAAATCGTTGTTAGCAAACAGATTATAAATGATCAGCTATGGAAACAAGGCTCTGTCTGCTCCTGTGTGATTGTCTATGCAGTTTGTAGGAAAGAATAAATGGAGTGAGATAATCATATTTTAAAGGGCATGTGAAAGGGACCTAAACTAATTTAGTAATCTCTTCCTCTCAAGTAGAGAAGGCACTCTGCTAGCAATTTCCTTTGGAAAGTCCACATTCTTTTTGGAGGCACAAGTTTACTTTTCCTCACTTCATGGGGTGCCCAGCTCCCAGGAGCAGCCTGCTTTGTAAGGTGGCCCCACTGCCAGCTTTCAGTAGACCTGGCATTTGTCTCCTTGTATTCATCCCATTGGGTTCCATGACAGACAGATGGAGCTTGATTCTGAACCGACCTGCTGAGCTGGGTGTGACGCTTTCAGACATGAAATCTTGATTAACAGTAAATGTTAATTGAAGCAGTGAATTATTAAAGTGTTTTTCCATAAATTATAAATGCTGTTGTTGGCTTTTTGCCTCTTGTGACATCATAAGGCTTTCCAAGAAGTTGCTAGGTTGATCCAAGGAAAATGGAAAGAGGTAGCTGCATGTGATGATATTCATAGTGACGGCATAAACCTTGTGGCCAGGCCACAACCTTTGTTTCTGGAGTTCCTCATTGCCTCAACCAAACAAGCAAATCATCTTTCCCTCAAATGTAGAGCTCTCTCCAAGTGATTCTCATCTGGCCGCCTAGCTTCAGTTCCCACCAGTAGATGATTTACCTCCACTCAGATTTCTCTGAACTCCATACTTATACACAGGGTATCAGTGACAGCTCCAGCCAGTGTTCCACAAGACCTTAAACTCATTCATTTGTTTAACAAATATTTAACAAGTACCTGCCATATGTCCCTAGTGCCACTTTTTCTAGCAACAATAATGAACAAAGTAGATACTGCTTCTTGTGGAACACACACTCTAGTGGGTGTGGGAGGAGACTAAGACAAAGGGGAGCAGTGAGTGTTGGAGGTAGTGGTGGAATCAGGGATTCTATGGTGTGCTCACAGAATGTCCCACTAGATGATATTTGAGCAGAGACTCAGAAGACTACCTCTAGGTAGAGTTAAGATTTAAACATAAAATAACTTAATTTGTGTTTCTTTTTAAAAATTTCTCCTTGTGAAAAAGGAACTCTACTGCACTGCTGGTGGGAATGCAAATTGGTCCTAACACTATGGAAAGCTGTGTGGAGGTTCCTCAAACTACTAAAAATGGAGCTTCCATATGATCTAGCAGTTCTACTCCTAGGGATCTACCCAAAGGACACAAAAACATTAATTCAAAAGGACACCTGCATGCCTATGTTTATTGCAGCACTTTTTACAATAGGTAAGATATGGAAACAATCCATATGCCCCAAAATAAATGACTGGATCAAGAAGGTATGGTATATTACACAATGGAATATTACTCAGCAATCAAAAAGATAAACTCATGCCATTCACAGCAACATGGGTGGAGCTGGAAGGGATTATGCTCAGTGAAATAAGATAGAAAGAAAAAGAAAAATATTAGATGGTTTCACTTACAGAAGGGATGTAGAGGAAACAAATAAGGGAGCAGGGAAAAATTATAAATAATTAAAATCAAGAGGCAACTATAAAGCAGAGACATTCTATAGGGGAGGAGGAAGGAGAAGGATCAAAACGTGTGGGACGAGCACAAGGGACTGTGGTGATGGTACATGGGTAAATTGATTGTGGAATTTCATGGGGACTATACAAACATTGTACAAAAGCAAACGTACAAAATTGAAGAGTGATGTAAAATATATATATTATGTGCTGTACTCATAATTCAGGGAATGTTATAACCAGTCACTAGAGTTACATGCGTGGATTCATCTTTCTCTCCTTCTGTATTTTTAGGAGAAAGCAGTTTCTCATCGATTCTGGATTCCTGTCAGTCCCAAGCAGGGACTTAATACCTTCACAGAGGTATAAAGTAGACTCTTCTGTCTCTTGTCTTCCTTTCATTGGCTTCTTCCCATGGGAAAAGGAGTGATGGATCTAACTGGCCAAATGGCAGTGAGTCTGTCCTCTACCAGTCCAGTTTCTCTAATGCTCTCTGGCAGGACTTCTCAAATTTACCTGAGCGTAGGCATCATCTGGGGGATCTCCATCAAATGCAGACTCTGATCCAGTAGATCTTGGCTGGGACTGAGATTCTGCATCTTTGTTAAGCTTGCGGGTAATGCCTGTGCTACTGATCTGTGGACCATACTCTGTGCAAGAGTCTGTTGGGGCAAGAAAGTTTCAGTCCCCTGCTAAATATCTTCTTAGCAGCTCAAGCGTCCCTCACGCATAGGGCCCAAAATGTGGACTTGAAAGCAAGTGTTAAGAAGTCTATTTTCAATTCAAATATGAGCCAGATAATCCAAGATTATCAGAGTAAAGCCTGTGTGTTGATTTGTGTGTGACAACTGTCTATTGTTAGGATAGAGAGGAAAAAAGTGAAGTTATTTCCATTTTACAGATGAGGAAATCAAAGCTTAATGAATAACTGGTTTAAAGACAAATAAAGTTTAGCTGGGTTTTGCACTCTACCAGTTTGACCCTGTCATTTGCCCTCTGACCTGTTATTTTACACTTCCTCCAGTTAAACTGCCCAGCTCCCTGTCTACCTTGTAGCTCCTGTCTTATTTTGCATGCTGCATTTACTACCCTCTGCTTTGTACCTTCCACAGCACTCACAGCTTCCTTGTCCCTTTCTGCGCTTGGCCATCTTCTTGCCTATCAATATGCAGTTCAAGGTCTACCTCCTTTATGAGACTTCTTCAATGCCCCAGCAAGAAGTAATGTCTTCTTATTCTTCTCTTGATTAACTGTATACAGCATTCCATCCATTTCCTTGCAATAGTTATTGTATTTGTTTGCTACATGCCAATTTCCTCTACAATTTCAAAAGACAGAAATACTGTTTGATTCATGTTTTCCTCCCAGCACCCTGCTCAGAGCTTGCACTTGTTAAGTGCTAAACATATATTACATGAATGCTTAGTGCTTGATACTTCATGACTGAATGTTTCTGCGCCCTGTCTTCCTTTACTGTTTCCTCTTATTCACTTCTTTGCATTTTGTTTGAAATATCTGTTACCTTCTCCACTTATGAGAAGAAATAGAGAAGGCAAGAACAATGTCTTATTATATTAAGGACCTGTCCATCATTTGGTGAGGACCTTGTGCATACTAACAGTAAAACAAACTTTGATAATAAAATATTTTTGTATCCTGAGAAGAGCAGAACACAATCTTTAACTCAAAGTTAAAATAACCAGCTCATCCACTAACGAGTACTTGGAGTATGTTGGACTAGTTACCTAAATTATATGAACTTTACTGCCTCACTGTTAGGTGATGGCCTTGGATGTGGGACAGTCCAGGAAGGGAGGAGACTTCAAGCAGTATCTGAGAGTTTCAAATGATATGAACTTAGACTCCCGTAACTGGAGAGAAAAATGTCTGTCTGTCCTGCTTAGTAATTGTACTGTACATTGCCCACCTGGAGGTAGAAAATGCTTTAATTAGAAGGTAGAAAATGCTTTAATTAGAAGAGACACCTCTTTGAGTCTGAATCTAGGTAGACCTAAATTATCTCTCCAGTAGAAAATTCTGTTCATTATGCCTTCTTCCTGGTCAGTGAAATCCAGAAGTCTAAGGTCTCATCTCATGTACGTCTTTTATTTCTGGATTTATACATGCATGTGGAATGACTAGCATTTGACAAATTCCATTTTTCATTTCCAATATAAATCACTTACATTCATAATTTTTTTCTGGACATTTTTTCCCCATTCCTGAAATTATCTTGTTCCTAAAGGTGAGAGACTTCAGTTGGATTCCTTCCTTCATGGCTGTTCCTAGTCATCCCACAATATAATTAGTTTTTGAATATTTATCAATATGAATATTTATCAATCTCATATTTTGCAACTTTCGCTGGCACACTGACTTGCCTTGACAGATGTCTCGGATAACCCTCTGGATCTCAGTGTTTGAATTTATCATGCCAACTTATCCATTTGGATTGTCTGGCTTGCTGAACTGTGGCCAGCATTTCTTCATTCTAGGATACCCTTCCTCACACCTTATTTAGCTAAATATGCTTTAAATAGGCACACGATTAATGGAGAAAACTTTAGTTAAACTGTACAGACCTTGTACCTTTCCTAGTATATGAAATGGTTTTGCCTGTTACTTGCTGGTGAAGAGGTGGTGCCCACTCTTTCTCTTACCTACTCTCAGCTGGAAAAACGACCTGTGCTAATTCTTCTTCTAAGTGTCAATACTTAGTCTTTTAGGCTACTCTGCCTATCACATCCTGCTTTGTCTCCTACATCTGTGACTCAGCAATGACGTATTTCTTAGTTGCCAGTCATCGTTTACCTTTCTTTATTTGATCTGAGTTTTCTACCCTAAACTTTGTAATTTCTTATCAAGGAAACAAATTTTTAAAAAATTCCAAAGAAATTTCTGTTGACTTTCTTCAGTTTTCAGCATAGGTAATAGAGATTTGTAGAAAGCAGTGTCGTAGAGGGCTTCCCCACAGGAGTTCACCTCTGATGGGGAAGTTTTCCTACTTCACATTTCCATATCTAAGCATATAATTTACATATAATTCACACACACAAAGTATATATGTACACACACACACACACACAAAGGCTACCTTATTTAAATTTACAGCCATTTTTAAAAATGGAGTCTTCCTTGCAGTAGATTGGCCATATTGTCATATTTCTCTCAGCTGTAAGCAGTCCTAACTGCTTTGTAATTGCTCTTTGTTTTCTAAGTTTCGTGACAGTCTTGGAATAGGCAAGGACTGGAAACATGGAGAACGGTGCATATCCCTTCATGGCAGTACAACATTCAACATGCAAGTCTCCAAGGCAGTAGGGGTGTAGCTGCACTGTCTAAGAATATCTGGGAGGTTTTTATGACTAGAACTCTAAAGATTGGTAGAGCTGAAGTTGGAAGGTTGGGTTGCTGGGGAAGGCAGGAAGTGCAGGTTCCTTGGAGACCTTGGTAAGCACCTTATATTTTTCTCTTAGAAACAAATCATCTGTTCTTCATTTCTGTTCTTCACCGCCACCCATACATCTTTTATTTGATTTTTTTTCCCTAGTTTTTTAGTGTGATAAAATACGTATATCATAAAACATACCGTCTTAATCATTTTTAAGTGTATGCTTCAGTGGTATTAAATGTATTAATGTTGTGTAACCATCACAAGATAAGTTATTTTCATCTCACAGAACTGAAACTGTTCACATTAAGCAGTAACTCCCAATGGTTTCCCACAGCAGCCACCATACTACTTTCGTTTTTTAATCGCCCTCTTTCCCCATGCCACTTTTAACCACCATTCTATGTTGTTACTATGAGTTAGACTATTTAAAAAAAAAATTCCATTTATATGTGAGCTCATGCAAACTAATCTTTCTGCATCTAATTTATTTCATTTAGCATAATGTTCTCCAGATTCATCCACATCTCTCAGATGGTAGCTGCCCTTTTTAAGAATGAATATAATTCTATTGTATGTATTATTAAAAAGAAAATAAACAGGCCTTAAATGGAGATGCTTGTGCTAAGCCAGCTAATACCTAAGCTAACTGGAGTTTCAGCACCCCTGCAATTATAACCTCTACCAGGAATTAGCTCTAACTGGTCCACATGGAATTTTCTGTTCAGCTCCAAGAAGGTAATCTTTTTTTATCCCCCTAAGGGGAAGATAAGATAATCACAAGATCTTTATCCATTCCTCATTGGTAGGCTACCTAAGCTTGAAATAATTTCCTATTCCCATATCTTGGCCTCTTTCTAACTGAAAAGCCTCTCATTTTGCACAGCTTTTTTGCAGCAGCTTTCTACTTGTCAGATGTGATATTGCCCAATTCATGAAGCTAATTATCTTGAAAATTTATTCATTTGGATTTTTGTTATTTAGCAGTATTTATCACTTATTCTTTATTCATTTGTTCATCAGCGGACATTTAGGTTGTATCTCTATGTTGACTGTTGTAAATAGTAGGGGTGTAGCTGCACTGTTTGTGTTTCAATGAACACAAAAGTACAAATACTGTGTTGAGATAGCAATTTTATTTCCTTTGCATCTATACCCAGAATTGGGATTCCTGCATCACATCATAGTTCTATTTTTACTTTTCTGATTAATAAAATACTGTTTCCACCATATTCTTTTCCATAGAGGCTGCATGAATTTACATTCCTGCTAACAGTACAGGATTTCCTTTTCTCCACATTCTCCCAAGACCAATTTCCACTTGCCTTTTTATGAGAGCTCTTCTACTGGGTGTGAGGTGTATCTCATTGTGGTTTTGGTTTACATTTCCCTGATGATTAGTCATGTTGAGCACCACTTCATACAGCTGTTGGCCATTTATTTGTATCTCTTATTTGGAAAAAATGCCTATTCATTTTTTGATCAGACTATTTGCTCACTTTTTTAATACCAGATTAATTGCTGCTTTGATATTAAATTATGCACGTTGTTTATATTTTTTGTTTATATATTTTATAATCCTTCAACAGATATATCGTTTGCAGATATTTTCTCCCGTTCCATAGGTTATCTTTTCATTTGTTCACTGTTTAAAGAAAACATTTTTTATTTTTGTGCTTTTGGTGTCATATAAAAACAAGTCTCTGACAAAGCAATACCAATGTCAAGGAGATTTTTCCCTGGATGTTTTCTTTTAAGCTTTATAATTTCAGGCCTTACATTTAAGTGTTCAGTTGATTTTAGATTAACCTTTGTGACTGGTATAAGGGCCACTTTCATTCTTATGCATGTGAACCTCCAGTTTCCCCAAAACTATTTATTGAAGAGACTATCCTTTCCCCATTGAGTATTTTGGCTCCCTTGTCAAATA